TAAAGAGAAAGGAATCCTACTACAATAAGGAGTAGAGATTGTCTTTGAATTTTGGTCAAATAAGAAGTTTGAGATTTGTTTGAATTCTGGTCAAATTAGGAGATAGCAGTTTTGTTTGTTTTTTCTTCCTAAGTTAGGAATCCTATTATCTTAAGGGTTCGTCAATCCAATTCCTACTAAGAATAGTCAAACTGATCTGTCTTTCTTGCTTTTTTATTGTTTCCTTCCATTGTTCTAATATCCAGGAGTCCTAATCTGACTATACCCCAAAGTGCAAAATTTTCATGTTTTCCGTGAATTCCAAAATCTGGTCGGTACGTGTTCATTGCAGTCATCCTTTTAAAACTTGAATTTTGGTTGGTAAGTTTTTAGTGAATTGCTACTGGGAATTTTCAATATTGTTTATAGTTTGAAAGGAACTGAAAGAGAATTCATGAGTGGAAAAAGGCAAAGAGTGGTGAGCATATTAGAGGGTAAAAGCCAATTCAGTGAAACACGAGCAAAATTGAGTGATACATACTTTTTTTTTTAGTGAAACATGTGAGGGAGTGTGGTGAGGTCCTTTCCATATTGTTTCTAACCCCATTTTGCAGATTACAAGCATGTCATGCAACCAAGAAGAAAACTCGAGTGAAGAACTTCCACAACAATACCTTCCAAACCTACAGGTGCAAGCGATATTGGGAGAGGTGCAATGGATGGTGAATAGGTTAATTGAACCCATGCAAGAGCAATTGGAAACATTGCAATTGGAGAATAGAAGGCAGCAATGAAATTCTCCCGCGTGACCACCACCTAGGCAAATGCAGCAAAGAGAATGTTGGGGCGACATAGAAGAAGAAGAGGAGTTGGAAGAGTTGAATGAGCCACCATTGAACCGGGGTAGGTTTAGGCATGGGAATGGGAATAGAGAAGTTAGGAATCACGAGGACAATAGCTTGGGCAGCATCAAGATGAAGATTCCGCCATTCCAAGGAAAAGCAGATCCAGAAGCCTATCTTGAGTGGGAAAGGAAGGTGGAGTTGGTCTTCGATTGCCACAATTATTTCAAGCTTAAGAAGGTGAGACTGGCAGCCATTGAATTTTCAGACTATGCTCTTGTTTGGTGGGATCAGTTGGTCATGAATAGGTGTCGGAACCGGGAGCATCCAATTGAAACATGGGAAGAGATGAAGGCAGTGATGAGGAAGCAATTTGTGCCCAGCCATTATTACCGGGAATTGTACAAAAAGTTGCAAGGGCTTAGGCAAGGACATCGGAGTGTGGAGGAGTATTATCAAGAGATGGAGAAAGTCATGATTAGAGCCAATGTAGAAGAAGACCAAGAGGCAACCATGGCGAGATTCTTGCAAGGATTGAATCCAGACATCCATGACGAGGTGGAGATGCAACATTATGTGGAGCTAGAAGACATGGTGCACATGGCCATCATTGTAGAGTGACAGCTCAAGAAGAGGGGAGGTACACGTGCTGGCCATAACCCAGGGTCTAATCCTTGAAAACCAAGTTCTTCCAGAAAGGAGGACGAGCCATAATTGTCCTCAACTCTCAAGCACCAATTTGAGCATAAGACTGAGAACACCAGCCGCAATTCTCAAGGTAAAACCGACACTTCTACTACTCAAAATCATGATATTAAGTGCTTTAGATGTTAAGGCAAGGGTCACATAGCGAGGCAATGTCCAAACAAGTGGGTTATGGTGATGCAAGACAATGGTGAAATTGTGACTGAAGATGTAGATTCTGACACTGATGAAATGCCACCATTGGAGGATGCCTATGAGGAGGAGTTTGCTGTACATGGAGATTTGTTGGTGGTGAGGAGGGTTTTAAGTGTGCAAGCAAAGTAAATGGATGAAGTGCAATGAGAGAACATCTTTCACACTAGGTGCTATGTCAAAGATAAGGTATGCAATGTGATTATTGATGGTGGTAGTTGCACTAACGTTGCTAGCACAACCATGGTGGAAAAATTATAATTTCCCACACTGAGGCCCCGTTTGGTATAGTGGTTTTGGGGTAGCGGTTAGCGGTTTTACCTAAACTGCTAAATATAGGTGTTTAGTAAACTTATATATTTCGAAACCGCTATAAATAAAGTGTTTGGTAAAATTTTTAGGTTAAAACCCCTTTTTGGTCCCTATACTATTGTACGGACCCTCGATTTGGTCCCTGAACTAAAAAAATCCCTGATTTGGTCCCTACTGTTTACCATTTTTACCCCGATTTGGTCCATAAACTAAAAAAATCCCTGATTTGGTCCCTACTGTTTACCATTTTTACCCCGATTTGGTCCTTCCGTTAAAAATTGTGTGACGTGGCCTGTTACTTAACG